AATAATTTATCAATAATAAAGAAGACCGGACGAAACCAATGCTACTTGAAAAATTTATAATTTATCAGAAAGAAAATGTTCTTGATGAAATTTAGATGAAATAAATAAAATATATTAATCGTTAAGAGTAACTGCCAAAAGACCCAAAAAAGTCGTCTTAACTCACTATTTAAAGTTGCCCTATTCGAAACTCCAGAAATATCTGCCAATAATATATAGACATAGACAGTTTTCTCTCTAAATAATTGTTAATCCAATTAGAATACTCCTCTTTGATATGCATTGCAACATTACAGGGTATACAAATAATGGGCGACCATTTGATGGGGTTGCTCACAGGGTTGGCTGGTAGGCCACAGAGACAGCGATTCAAAATTGAAGTCGCCGAGTTATAAAGTCAGAAGAACTTTGCTCCGGCTGTCAGCTAACAAGTGTTTACAGTTCCGCTGCTCTGTCGATACAGTTACCCCATAAAATTTGGACCAACCGGTAGGTTTTCTGCAAGCGGCCAAAATGAAGCCGTCAAAATGCCAACTGAGCCGGCTAATGAGCCACGCATAAAAGCCAAGCCAAGTCAAGCCAAGACTGAGCTGAAGAGTCAAATAGTTGGATGCGAAACAAAGAACGGAACACAGAGAGAGAGAGATGGAGACAGAGAGAGTGGGCAAGCAAGAAAGGCAGCAAACGCTAATGGGTCGCCAGCAATAAAATGCGTACAGATGAGTGAAGCACCAGAAGCTAAAGAAGCCAAACCTGCACAGTGCCACGAAAGATATTACAATCGATAGCATTTTGTAGAGAGGAATGAAAACCTTTAGCAAACTAAGAAGCAGGAAATGCAAATGCCAACAAGCATTCATCTTAAATATGCACAAAAATCTTGGATGGGGTAGAAGCTAACTATCATATAAAAAATATAGCAAATGTAGCTAGCTGAATGACTAGAGTAAATTGGGAGCACAAAACCCTAAAGGGTTTCAGTTGATCAACAAAGAAAGTTTTCATGCTGCTAAAATAGAAGCTGCCCCACTGTGCGCAGACAGCATTGAAATGGACCAGATACCGCATTTCACCGGCACAGTTGCCAGCGAATCGACCGAGCGTACGGTTCTACAATGATGATCAGGCAGAGCTTTCCACTGGGCCAAGTTCTGCTTCTTGCCTTGGCCCTTGCCGCAGCCACTACAAAGAGGCAACAGCCACTCAATATAGAGCAGCTGCGTCAACTGGGCCTGGGCAACATTATCAATCTGCCCAACTATACCGATCGTAAGTGCTCTCTCTGTCCACCCCATCTTTATTAGCGCCTAACCACTTCAACTCCTTCGACTGCTCCCACAGTGCCTCGTGGCAGCTACGACTTCATCGTGGTCGGAGCTGGCGCCGCTGGCTGCACGCTGGCCGCGCGCCTCTCCGAGAACCCCAACTGGACCGTCTACTTGATAGAGGCGGGCGGCGTGGAGAACTTAATGCATATGATACCCGTGCTGGCGCCCATGCTGCAGCTGACCGCCTCCAATTGGAACTACAAATCGCAGCCGCAGCGGCTCGCCTGTCGCGGCATGAACAACCACGAGTGCGCCCTGCCGCGCGGCAAGGGTCTGGGCGGCACCAGCTCTATTAACTTCATGATCTACAACCGCGGCAATCGACGCGACTTTGACGCCTGGGCGGAGCGGGGCAACCACGGCTGGAGCTACGACGAGGTGCTGCCCTACTTCCTGCGCAGCGAGTCCGCTCAGCTGCAGGGCCTGGAGCACTCGCCCTATCACAATCACAGCGGGCCCCTCAGCGTGGAGGATGTCCGCTACCGCAGCAGCTTGGCCCACGCGTATGTGCGTGCCGCCCAGCAGGCGGGCCATTCACGCACCGACTACAACGGGGAGTCGCAGCTGGGCGTTTCCTATGTGCAGGCCAACACGCTGAAGGGTCGACGGCACAGCGCCTTCAGCGCCTACATTGAGCCTGTGCGACCGCTGCGCAAGAATCTCCACATT